TATATATATATATTACACACACACATACACACTGAGGAAAAGGGATTGGCACAGTGGAGGTGTGTGTATAAATGTGTGTGTGTGCCTACTTTGCTGTTTAATTCCTTTTAGGTAACTTAAGCCTGGGCTTTTGAACCACAGGATGAATGGGTCTGCAGTGAATGTCAGTGAAATGCCACTGCTGTGTGAAGCCTTATTCATCAGGGTTCAGCCTAAAACACCCTTCATGCAGACCCAACACACACACACCCACACACACTCAGAGGATCAGTCTACAACAGATAACAACACCATTCTTCAGACGACACAGTAGTCTGTCGGGTAGATAATACAAAAGTTATTAATCAAAACAAGTGTACTGAGTTTGTTTTGTTGGTGATGTTTTACACAGGAGAAGCTGAGGGGATTAGATAAGAGATTACATATTTGAGCCCACTGAGGCGCCAGTTGGCTCAAGTACAGATGATTAACAGACATGTAATATACAGCTATTTGTGTAATTTTTAGATATTTTTACTTTACTTGTGTTCTGCTTATGTTTACATCATCTATCTCCTTCACACGGCTGCCCTCATCTTCATCAGTTCCTGGTCCACCTTCAGGCCTAGAGGGAGAAGCTGTCGGCTCTAATGGCATCCTGCTTTCCTGGAATATACCGTCTAATGCCAAAGATATAGATGGATATGTCATAAGGTAGTTTTTCAAGATCTTCTTTGGAAAACTGTCTAAGATACATACACTATCATAGTTTAGTATAGTCAAAAGTTTTGATCTCACATCTTATGTAAAAGTGCAGTATAATCAGCAACATGTACTAAACAAGTGCTAAATACTTATTGATCTATCTATATCTCTTCTATGTAGTTTTTCTGTCACGTTTACACATGTTGCCAAAAGGGATGTCGCAGAATACCTTCTGCTGGACAACCTATATAACATCAACAATGATCACTTCTTCACTTTTACAATTTTCATTTATTGACCTTTATAAATGCAGATGCCAATATTAGCAGCAAATAGCCAGAAATTGGCATTTGAGGTGTTCGAGATACATGTCTACAGTACAACCTGGCTTTTTTGTGCAAAAATGGTTTGAAATACTTTCCTAGGGATTATTTTTAATGTTAAAAATATATTACAACAAGACCTTATTACTATATGTTAAAAATTCAAAGATCAGCACAGAGCTAGTTACCAGTTTTTGGATTAATGTAGATCAGTGAAATATTCACCTCATGAAGCAGCTGTATAGCTGGTTCCATAGAAGAGGGGCCTGAAAACTGAAGGCTCTGCCTCCTGTTGTACTTTTAAATAATCTAGGAACAACAGGTAAACCTGCAGTGCGAGAGCAAAGTGGGTTGATACGGCACTATAAGGTCAATAAGATAAGTAAACAAGAAATATTAAGTGTAGTTGAGTACAGTTCGACAGTTTTGCATCTGACCATATATTGTATTTTCATTCAGTTGCATAAATTTCATAAGTGTGAAGTTGAGATATGATGATCTTAACTACCTGGTTTCTTACTGCAGGTACAAGGAGGTGTGTCCTTACCCTGACCCCGCTTTCACACAGGTGACAAAATACCTGGATATACCAGAGACCCTGATCACTGACTTTACTTCAGGATCTACCTACCACATTCAGGTAGAATATAATAGTCAGAATTAAATTAAGTTTACAGTCAGATTGTTTGGTGAATTCACTATAAACAATAAAACAAAATAAAACTCATTCTCGGGAACTGCTCCAACTTACCTGTTTTGACTACAAAGCCGTGGCCCAAAGGAGCTACAGTGGCAGGGGTTCAAGTCTGCTCCACACCATTTCTTTCGTGTCTTTCCCCCTTTTCCTGTCTAGTCTCTGGAGTCTTATCAAATAAAGGCTGACCTAGCAAATTTTGTTTAAAAAGTCCCAGATTGAATCAAAACAGAACAAGCTGTCCTGCAGGGATACTGCACATAAAAGAGCTTTTGAATATGAGTTTTTATTATGTTAAAATGAATTGATTAATAGATATACTTCTGGGAACTGTGATCATTGTCCCTCTTAACAGACCTCCTTGAAACTGCCCCCCTCCCAGCATGTGAGTGTGTAACTATGTGACAGAGGATCAGATTATTCTGTTGATCTGGCTGAATACTGGTAATTGATCCTGATTGCATTATTAAACAGGTAAACAGATCTATGGATGAGTCTTGGCTCTTTCCACTATCTGTTGTCAGTGAGCTTGAATGCGATCATGCTTAAAGGTTTTCAGAATTCATTAACCCGCTATGACCTTCACACAAATGGACGTGACAC